AAGTTCTGGATTTGGCTCAAATGACATAACTACACTACCACAGATAATCTCCCAGACACTTTATACAAAAAGTCATTGAAGATGGACCTATGTCTATGGATCTGGCTCAGGGTAAAGTGGCTTGAGACGGCTCCCTCCACCTTGATACCAGTCACAGATCTTGCAAAAGAACAGAGCAAATGTAAGTTACAATACAGTTTTAAAAAATCGGAAAACAAAAACTAACAAAATGGGACAGTTTTAGACTGTAAATTCCATGCTCAACTTATTGAGACAAGAGGGGACATAATACCTTTCACCACTAGCTACAGTCCATATTTATCCCTATGATAGACAAGACTTACAGTGAACTAAACAGATAAAAGCAGATACTACACTTAATCATAGTGAAATGGGTATGACAAGGCTTCTTCGTCTCTCAGCTAAAAAAAAACGGCAAACAGTAAACGCTAACCGAAGCAAACATGTGTAACAAAGATCAGAAAAATGAACTTAACCACACAGAGAACAACTGATGCTAATGGCTATATGTCTGTAGTTGACTGGGAACTAGTAATCTGGCTCGGGGTAAGGTAGCTTGAACGAGGCCCCACCACACTGATATCTGTTATAGATCCTGCAAAAGAAAAGCACAACATACGTTAAATTACAGTTTAAAAAAAGAGTAAAGAAAAATGGCAGTAAAAAACAGCACAAAGTGGACCATATGTGAATTGTATCTTTTTCTGCTCTACTTAGTGGGAAAGGATGGGACATAACAGGTTCCAACAAATCCATAGTCCATATCTAACCCTAAGCAAATTCTACATCTAACCAAACATTAACCATAACAAATACCTAACCCTATGTAATTTCTGGTCAACTGCATTAAAACAAGGGGCATTTCATTATGACATCATGATATAAAGAAAGTATAAAATATTAAAAGGTAAGAGCAGATACTACACTTAATCATAGACAAACAGCTATAACTAGATTCCTGCTTCCGGGAGCAGAAAACCTGTGAACAGTAAATTCTCACAGAAAAGCATCACAGACAAAGACATACTGCATGCAACTTGAGAGACCTAAGTAACACAACTATTACACTATAGGGAATACCAACAGCGCTCATACAGTGAGTAATTTACTTATCTTAAATATCAATGGATGATAAACCTGATAGATATTAGGATAAATATTTCAAAAGAACAACAGATTATAAGTTAAATTACAGTTTTAAATCTAAAGCAGAGCAACTACAAATAACAAATTTCACACACTGCTTATTGAGATAAAAGAAGACACAAGACCAAACACTAACTACAGCCTATACTGAACCTGAAGCAAATCCCATGGGAAATGATTGGGGACTAGTAGTCTGGCTCAGGGTAAGGCTGTGCTTAACATTGTGCTCTGCTTTATTGAGAGAGAGAGAGGAATAAATTAAATATGTCCCTTGTTAGAAGAGTTTTATAAATAACTTTGAATTGAGAACTGGTTGTTTTGTGATATATTTATATAAAGCCCCAATCAGCAAAATAATGATCTGGTGTGTTTGAGCCCCACCCATGTTCCCACCCACTAGTTCTCAAGGGCTGCAGCATTTCCCTGCTCACCTAGGAGCAAGGACTCAAACAAGCAAAAGCATTACTACTTACCATGATCAAGAAAGTGGTTCTCTCAAGCTCAGACTCTGACTAGTGCCCCTTTTCCTGTGTTTGTATTTTTGTTAAATGCTCTGCTGTGGTTCTGATGAAACAGTTAACAGGGTGCCCAAACATAGCTTTAGAGGTATGGTTGTAAAGCTTGAGCCGTGTCCAGGACTGTTCTTGCCTCATGTCTTTTTAGTTATCAAATGACTCTAAAAAATTTTTAATCATTAGGGAAAATATGGAGATATGCTTTAGCTTAAGCAAATGAAACAAATCTAGTAATAAGCCTCAACATACTTTGCTTTTCTTGGGAAGAATTTCTAACAGAAAAGCATCACAGACAAAGACGTACTACATACAACTCAAGAGACCCAAGTAATAAAACTACACCACTAGAGGGAAAACCAACAGCTCCCATACAGTGAGTAATGTAAGATAAGACAATGTCTATGGATGAAAGAACTAGTAATCTTGCTCAGGGTAAGGTAGCTTGAGCCAGACCACTTCACCTTGATAACTTTCACAGATATTTCAAAAGAACAGCAGAATGTAAGTTAAATTACAGTTTTAAATTTAAAGGAGAACAGATGCAAATTGTAAACTTTGGGCTCTGCTTATTGAGATAGGAGGAGATACAAATTCAAATACTAACTACAGCCAATATCTAACCCTAAGCAAATCCTGTGATGAATGATGGGGAGCTAGTAGTCTGGCTCAGCAAGGGCTCCTCTCAAACAAGCAAAAAAATCAATAACTACCTTGATCAAGAAAGCGGTTTTCTCAAGGTCAGGACCCCTTTTCCTGTGTTTGCTATTGTATGTTCCCCAAGAGGGAGTGTTCTGGATTGCATTATTTTTGTTTATGTAGTACTGTGTTTATACTCTTGCCTGTTAGAAATGCTGTAAAAGAGTTAACAGCAAAGCAAGACATAGCTTTACTGCAAAGCTCTCGAAAGCTTTAGATGCATGTTTATATGTCTTGACTCCCATGTCCAAAACTGTCATTGCCTCAACAACCATGCCATTTCAATTATCAAATAACTCCTGTAAAATGCTTTAATCATAAGGAAAAATACAGTGTGCTTATGAGGACAGCTGAATTTGTAAAAATGACAGAACACTATTCCTGAAAATAATTTGTTAAGATCTTTTTCCATTCACTAACATGGGAATGGCTGGGGTTAGAAATTGTCCTGCAGCCAGCCACTAGAGGACCTCAGAGACATTTTGGGTTCACTTTTGAATCCCTGTCAGGATGGCCACCCATACACCGATCACTTGTAACATTAAAACCACCTGCCTAATATTGTGTAGGTCCCCCTTGTGCCACCAAAACAGCCGATGTAAAAGAAAACGTGATTCATCAGACCAGGCCTCCTCCTTCCATTGCTCCATGGTCCAGTTCTGATGCCCAGTGTAGGCACTTTTGGCGATGGACAGGGGTCAGCATGGGCACTCTGACTGGTCTGCAGCTATGGAGCCCCATACACTGTGATGCACTGTGTGTTCTCACACCTCTCTATCATAGCCAGCATTAACTTTTTCAGCAGTGTGTGCTACAGTAGCTTTTCTGTGGGATCAGACCAGACGGGCTAGACAGTCTTTGGTTTTTTACCGTGCCTGAAAAAAAGCGGATGGAGAAATAGTTCCTATTTTTTTTTTTTCGTTTTTTATCAATATTTCATTAGCAGAACACATTGAGTCTGACAAATAAATAAACTTATGATATTGATAATTTTATGTTAAAATCGATTCATAAAAAAGAAATGCCAGAATCAGAAGTATCGATACTTAACTATTGATCTACCCATCCCTACTGATGACTTCTATTTCTCCCAGCCAGAGGCTTTAAACTAAACAAATGAAATAAATCCAGTAATAGGTCCCCACTTACTTTGTTTATTTTTTGGAAGAAAGACATAATCTTTCTTTAATCTTACTGAGATGCATGGCTGATATCTTCATCTTCAGAAGAAGGGATGATTACATAAATACACTTGCAGGTTCATTATCATCATTCACTAAATGTAGCTGATAAAGGAGCTTCGTTACAATGCAGTTAAGCTAGCAGCAGTTAAGCTAGGTTATATCATTTTTATACCAGAACATAATACAATTTTAAATGTTCATACTTTCTTGTCAAGCCCGGGCTGCTTTCTACTTTAGCAAATGCACTCTTTCAACACATCACATGAAAGTCACTATCTTTAGATAAAACTCTCACTGACCATGCAATGCATTCATTCTGATTCAGGCCCATGAAGCTTAGCTGTTATTGGTTGGTTCACTGCTCAGTCAGGCCAAAATAACCAATACCTTGAATACCTTGAGAGCAGATTTACAGGACACTTTGTTGTGATTTCTTGATATATTATAAAAAACTGATTAGAGCAAGTACAACACAAAACACAATCACAGTCAAATAGTTATAATAGCCATAGACTTCTGCTTCTGGCAGAAAAAAAACCTATGAACCATAAAACCTAAAAGAAGCAGAATTACTATGGTGCAACTAAGATATGGTAGATAGCAAGCAATTGAAGATAAAGTAATGGTTGGTTGGGAATTAGTAATCTAGCTAAGGGTAAAGTAGTTTATGACAGTCCCCTCCACCTTGATATGTGTCATAGATCTTGCAAAAGAACATAGCAATGGAAGTTAAATTAGAGTTAATTACATTTGTAAAAAGTGGGAAAACAAAAACTAACAAAAGGGAACAGATTTAGATTGTTATCTACTTACTACTTACTAACCCTATGCAAATCCTACACCTAACATTAACCACAGAAAATATCTAACCGTATGCAATTGCTAAATGAATATAAGAAGCACTTCATTCTGGCATCATGATAGAGAAGCCTTAAAAGAGACTTAACAGATAAGAGTAGATAGTACACTTAATCATAGCAAAATGGATATGACTAGGTTCTCTCAGCAGAAAATTGGCAAACAGTATATTCTAACAGAAGCAAGAGCATGAAACGCAGACCAGGAAGTGAATGAGATCTGAATGAGAACAATGTGTAAAGCATTAAATTGATAAGAGATCATCTTAGACAATGGGCTATAATAGGTTTTGGCTTCTAACAGCAGAAAATGCGAGCAGTAAGTTCTAATAGAAAAAAAAAGATATCACAAAGGCCAGAGAAATGGGTTTAGCTGGGGAAAACTAAATGATATAAACACACCAAGGACAAACAATCCCAAGAAACTTTACAATGTAAGATACTGAAGTCGATGACTATGTCTATAGATGATTGGGAACTAGTAATCTGGCTCAGGGAAATGTGGCATGAGCCGACCCCTCTACTCTGATATCGTTTATAGATACTGCAAAAGAATGAGCAATGTAAGCTAGCTTGCAGGTTCCCTGGTGTGCTAGTGGCTAGCATGCAGCGCTCTCACTGCAACAGCCCGGGTTCATTTCCTGGTCAGGGAACCAACCCCAGCCACTGGAGGGTTGCACGAGCCAATGCACTCTCAGTGCAGGTCCCAAGCCCGGAAAAAGGGGAGGGTTGTGTCAGGAAGGGCATCAGGCGCAAAACACGTGCTAGAATTAAGATAGCGGATGTGTGATCTGCTGTAGCCACCCTGAATAGGAGCAGCTGAAAGAGGAGGGGAAAAAATGTAAGTTAAATTGCAGTTAAAAGAAAAAGAAAAAGGGCAGGAAACACAAAGTGGACCATGTGAACTGTAAACAGAGGAGATACTGCACTTAATCATAATCAAATGGCCATAGGTTTTTGCTTCTACAAGGGAAAACAAAAAGACCAAAGTGGGCGACATTATAATTTAAAACAGGTTCCAAAAAAACTATAGTCCGTATCTAACCCTAAGCAAATTCTACATCTAACCCAACATTAACCATAGCAAATATCTAACCCTATGTAATTTCTGGCCAACTGCATGAGAACAAGAAGTACTTAATTATGAGATGATATAAAGAAAGAACAAAACATATTAAACAAAATCTCAGAGAATAGTATCACTGAGAAAGGAGCGCTGAATTGGATTTTAAAAAATTGAGCAACTAAGCTATACCACTACAACAAGAAGTTAATGCTATATCTATGGATGACTGGGAACTAGTAATCTGGCTCAGGGTAAGGCATACGCTAAGGTATATGCTACCTATTGCAAGATAAGGGGACATAACAGGTTCAAACCCTAACTATAGCCCATGTTTAACCCTAAGCAAATCTGACATGTAACCAAACATTAAGCTCTAAACCAATGTGATAGCTATTCAGCTGAATGAGAACAATAAGCACTTCATTATGCCTCCGTAAAAAAGAAAGTATAAAATATTACACAGATAAGAGAAAACCTGTGAACAGTAAATTCTAAAAGAAATAGAAGAGCATCACAAAGAAAGAAGTACAACATGCAACTTGAGGGACCAGAAAAACACAACTTATACAACAGGACAGCTCATACAGTAAGTGCATGAGACAATGATTAATGGTTAAGGGATGATTAAGAGTTAGTAATCTAGCTCATGGTAAGGTGGCTTGAGCCAGTCCACTCCACCTCGATATCTTTCATAGATGTTGCAACCTACTGCACAAAGCAATGTAGGTTAAATTACAGTTTTAAAAAATGGTGGGAAAACCAAAAAAAAAATAACAAAGTGGAACAGATGCAAATCGTAAATTTTGTGCCCTACTTATTGAAAGAGAACTATAGGCCATATCTAACCCGAAGCAAATCCTACACCTAACCAAACATTAACCATATCAAATATCTATCCCTATGTAATTGCTGGTCATTGAAATGAAAAAGAAGCCCTTCACTATAATATCATGATATGGAAGTCTTACAATATATTAAATAAGATAAGAGGAGACACCACATTTAAATATATACACAGTAACAAACAAACAATTCCAAGACACATAGCACAGCAAGCAATCAAAGACAAGACTATATCTATGAAAGATTGGGAACTAGTAGTCTGGCTCAGGGTAAGGCTGTGCTTAACATTGTGCTCTGCTTTATTGAGAGAGGAGGGACATAATAGGTTCAAACAATAACTATAGCTCATATCGAGCTAAACAAATCCTACACTTAACCAAACATTAACCATAGCAAAGCTCTAACTCTATTTAATTGCTGGTCAACTGAATGAGAACAAGAAGCACTTCATTATGACTTCATGATATACAGGAAGTTTTTCCTTGGCACTTAACAGTAATTGTGCAGTTGATATAGTCACATTCAGAGCCAGGAATAGGGTTATGGAAACCTTTGAAAAGGTGAGCATGGGCAGTCTATCTCTGATGTACCGAACAAATTCTGTTGTAAATGATATTGTAAAAAAAATTGAAAGATACTCTGCACTAGGCAATGAAAAGAAAAGGAAAAAAAAAAAGGCATATTGCAGATACTACAAATCAAATATTTGTGTGCATCATGGTGAACCTATTTCCCATACACAAATTAAAAAAAAAAAAAAAAAAAATTCTCCCCTTTTCAGCGGCAGATTTCTTTAGGGCTAGATTTGAGCTTTTTGTGCAGTTTTACATTTTCTGGAAGTTTTTCAGACCTGGCAACCCTGCTCATCATTTTGCCGCCACCTCTGCACCCCAAACAAGTGCAGCATACACATTTGCAATGCAGATGCCATCGTGACTACACGTTGTCACTGTGCATGAACACACATATGCACACAAACAGGACTGGATTTGTTCAGGTTTTTTACTCTGTATCACTGTTTATTTTGCCTCATGTGATTAAATCAGTGCAGCTTGCAAAATGAAGTTTCGTAGTTTATTTCTTTGTTGGGCACCTTTGCCTTTTCACCTGATTAAACTTGTAATGCAGTTGTTGTTCATCACTCAACAAGGTTTTTCTCTGATCTACAGACCCCCAAATAAAACGTTTCAACATCAGTATCAGTTTTTAACCATTTTCCTTTCCATTTCAAACCCTGGACCCTGGATAGTTGTGGGTCTACCATCTAATTCAGCCTTATGGTAGGCCATAGCCTATTTCACCAGAGACTTCAGTGTTTCAGGGTAAGTTGCTCTGGATAAGGAAGCATCTACTAAATGCTGTAAATGTAAACTATTAATGCTAATCTTCATTTGTGACAATAATATATTAATAATATATGACTCATGACAGAAACTTTTGAAGAAATGTTGAAGAAGAGTGTTTTAATATTGCTTTGTTAAAAAGGCATGATGTTACTTATAAATATCCCAATGCATTTTATAATATTCATTTTGTTGTAAAAGCTGTACGTCACGTTATGAAGGGGAGTTTTGGTAATGGGCAGATTTCTGGACTGATTCTTCCTTACAGCCCTGCCTTCAGGGGACATGGTGGCTTAGTGGTTAGCACTGTTGCCTTGCCTCTCTAGGGATGGGGGTTCAAATCCCACTTCCCCACTGTGTGTGGAGCTTGCACAGTATTCTCCCCATGCTTCTGAGGTTTCTGCCCTTAATCAAAAGATGCTGATTGGCATTTCTAAATTGTGTGCGATTGTGCTCTGTGAGGGGTTGGCACTTGCTTTGTGCCCTGAGTCCACTGGGACTACCCTTTTAGAAGATGGATGGTCCTGCCTCAAGTTGCTGTTAACATCACTTACTCTGACTTTAACTTCTTGGAGAACATGTGAAACTCTGCACAGCCAATAACCCAAGCTCAGGATCAATTGGGGACACTGAACCTGTGAGGAAGCAACGCTACCAACCATAACATCATGCCACCTTATTATCAAAGATAAGAAAAGCTTAAATAATTCAACTTCATTAAAAAAGGGAATGCACATGGTACCCATGTGACTCTTCTGTCAGCTAAGAAAATGTGTCCTTCAGCAGAGGGTGACATTTAGCAAATGCATTTCTTACCTATATTTCATCAAATTCCTCATGGGTCAGTGCTACAAGTTGAGTGTAAATAGTTTAGTCTGTTCCACTGTTAATTTAGAAAAATCCAGTTATTGATCGGTTACACACTCATATGTCTCTCTGCAAGTTTTTCTCTGCTTGGCAGCTGAAATGTCTTATGTCCCATGAATAAATAGTACACATTGTTCCAGCTGATTTGATTGATAATGTCTGGAAAAGCAGAAACATTATGAATTACGTAAATGGAATTGGGAGCAGTGGAGGACTGGGCTGAAGTGACGTTTGACTTGAGGGTGTTGCAGCGAACAGGAAATGAAAGAACATTGCATCATGGTGAAAATGTGGGAGAGACCATGTTTTTCAGATTCCTCTGGCTCCCACATTTGATGCACACACACTTGGCTGTACTTTCTGTTAGTTTAATGACATCAGACAGTTTGCGTTTGAAAAGGGGAACAGGAATGGAGAATGCCTTGCAGCGAACTTAAACTATACTTTTGGGAAACAGTATTATGACAACCACTAAAACCTCACAGTGCTATTGAACTAAAATATATATATAACTGAAATAGTAGTTTAACCTAATCCTAATTAGCAATGTTTGCAGTGTAGTACAGTATTACAGTAAATAATAATTAAAGCATAACAAATATATTTTCTTCTAGATATATGTTGGTATGCATGGCATGCAATGCAAACATGGACTAAAAATTACACTGGTGGGTTTTCTGTGTACAAAATAACAGACACTAACTGGTAGGGAACGGCAACAGCCAAACTCCACCATTAATATTTTACTTAAGTGTTATGAAGGATCATGTGAATGTGTCTTACGAAAATCATGAAAGATGGGCTATGGAGTGTATACATCTATGTGGCGATGGATGTCTATTAAACTAGATGTATAAATTTTTACACACAGTGAAACTGAAAGCCCAGAGTGGACCAGCAGGTGTCACACAGCACCTTGTGTGCATGTATGTTTACTGGATCAGATGTGTTTGTGTTTTTGTGTGTGTGTAGCCAGTTCTTGTTAACGACACACCCATGTACACTGAGATCACCCATGACTGATTTGTCTGTAAAACTAATGGCTGCTCACAACCTCCATTAATGTGCCAGTAGGGACATCAGAAACCACTGCGCACGTGTGTGTGTGTGAAATTACACATGTGGATCCTGACTGAATTCCTGTGAATTTGTGAAGCAGGAACAATATAAGGATATTTACTGCATGGCATCTTTTACCTACATGTTAAATATGCTTATTGACCACTTTAAGTATATTTAAACATTATATATTTGTCATCCTATAATCTATATGCTACAATGGCTACCAGGTTCAACCTGCGTCTAATGCAAACTCTTGCTTATCTCAGCCTTTCGGAGTTTCTCCAACCCTACACACATGTGCATACTTTCAGGTCCTCTGACACTCGACTCCTGGTTGACCCTAATTTAAGTTTGTCTAGCTTGCTAGCTTCTTTTCAACTGCTGAAACGGTTCAGGACTGTTCTTTTAAAGCTGAGCAGAAACCTGTCCTGTTCTCTGAACACCTTCAGAAGCTCTATAAAACAGCCAAGACTTTACACAGAACAGTGTGAACAACAAAACAACATCCTGTAAGAGGCAGCTCCTGATAAAGAGAAAGGTCAGAGAAGAATGGCCTGACTGGGTCAAGCTGCCAGGAAAACTGTGCTAAGTCAAATAGCCACTCTTTACAACCATGGTGAGCAGAACAGCATCCCAGAATGCACAGCGCCTCGAACCTTAAAACGGATGGTCTCTCTGAACGCCTTCATCTTTCTCATCTATTTAGTGTTTTTGTCCTCACCTTGCTAAATGAAAATTCATTTGCTTGAGGGTTTCTCTTTGATACAGTATCTCAAGAGATTTAATAGTGATTCTCACTTGTTTTTTTTAGATATCAAATATTTCTCCTAAAATTTCTGGGATGCTTTTCTGCTCACCATGGTTGTAAAGAGTGGACTTTTGACTTAGCATAGTCTTCCTGTCAGCCTGAACTAATCAGGCTATTCTTCTCTGATCTCTCTTATCATTAAGAACTGTCTCTTACAGGATGTTTTGTTTTTCACACCATTCTGTGTAAAGTCTTGACTGTTTTATGTGAAAATCCCAGAAGATCAGTGGTTTCTGATTTACTTAAACCAGTCCATATGGCACCAACAAGCATACCACAGTCAAAGTCACTGAAATTACATTTTTCCCCATATTCTTATTTGATGCAAACATTAACTGAAGCTTCTGTAACTGCATGAATGTATGTATTGTGCTCCTGTGACGTCATTGGCTGATTAGACAATTACATGAATAAGCTGGAGTTCAGGTGTCCCTATTAAAGTGACTGATCATCTCTATTATCTCTAGTTTCTCCTAGACATCACTGAGATCAAATGAAAAGAAAAGGAGGATTTCTGTTTCTGTCTCTTTTCTCTCCAGTTTTTCTCTTGAGGCAAAGTAGAAGAGAAGTACACTAGGTGTTAAATACAGCATTATTTTAGTTTTAGTAATACAGTTATGAAGAGTATTAAAGTATGCTAAATCCTCAGATCTAGTTACAATTTAAATTTTATCGAGCATTACTTATATTTGGAGAAGCTCTACAGCCAAACCTTGAAAAATAACTCGACTCAAAGAATTAACCAGTGAACAACAATCGAAGGAAAAAAAAATACGTTTCCAGAAATAAAGTGTTTGCCCAGTGATCAGGAGATTGTATATGAATCCTACTGATGCCAAATATGGCCTTTCTCTCCATTGTGACTCTGCTGAAATCTCATGTCTACTTTCACCTTATTCTATTTCGCCGAAGGAATTTTAGGAGAAACATTTGATACCTAAATAAAAAAAAAGTGAGAATCACTATTACATCTCCTGAGATACTGTATCAAAGAGAAACCCTCAAGCAAATTAATAGATAAGAAAGATGAGAAAGATGAAGGTGTTTAGAGAACAGGACAGGTTTCTGCTCAGCTTAAAAAGAACAGTCCTGAACACTTTCAGTCTCCGTGGGCTGCTTTGAGTATTTCAGAAACCACTGATCTCCTGGGATTTTCACATAAAACAGTCTAGAATTTACACTGAATCACAAGCAAAACAAATGAAAAAGAAATGCTTCCCAGAATGCACTGCACCTCGAACCTTGAAGCGGATGGTCTACAGCAGAACAACACAGCGTGTTCCACTCCTGTCAGTCAAGAACAGGTATCTGAGGCTAAAATCTCTCATCACCAAAGAGCGATATAAAGATATTTGTCCACAGCGGCCTCTTTCTCTGGAAACCTGTGTGTACTATGCTCATGTATATATTATTTTGAAATATTATTACTGCCTTACCTGACCAATTTAAATGTCTATAGAACCTTGTGAAAGTGTCATACAAAGTCAGATTGCTTTTTTGATCACAACTGATGCTCCAATTATTGCAACTATAATTGTGATGATGTTTCTTTATTGTGTATCAGCTTGAACAAGCAGTTTGCCATTTTGTCTTATGAAAAGACTCACATTAGTAAATAGCTGTGTAAATGAGAGATGAACACATGTAACGACAAAGCTGCGTTATGATAATCACCACTGAGGCCTTTTAGTTATTTCTGTTAAAGACAAGAAATGGTTCTAATTGATTAAATCCTTTTGCTATTTAGAAGGAAAATTAATCATGAGCGTCAACCCATGGAGATTCCAAGTCAATGAATATTACAGTCATTATCAAGGCAAGTCCCATGGATATTTCTTTGCTTAATTATTTGTGTAGTCATACTCTTAGGGCCAAACTGAATTATAACTTTGCAAGAAGTTGTTGCTTCCCTGTTATTCAAAAATGGAGTGCCCACTTGAGATAGCTTTTGACCCATGGGAGAGGAAACCAACCTTCCAGACACTTTCCTGCTTATGTGTCTAAGGCTAGATATTTGAGCTTTTCCTGAGTGCACAGATAAGGACTATGTCAATATGCAGCTGGAATGCCTGGTATACACAGGAAGTTTGTAAGTGTTGGGAGATCAGTGGGACATTTCTGTGAGTTCAGCCCATCCATGCTACTTTAATGAAGCCTATGACTGGCAAATTAATTCTATAGCAATTCTATAAATGCTCAAAGCATACAGAATGCTCACTGCGTTGTACACGTATGTTGTGCTATAAAATATGTACGTTATCTCTCTATTTAGAGTTAGTGTACAGTTATTGTTCTTATTTATAGGAATTATTTTATTTTAAGGAATAAAATATGACAGACTGTGTTGTTATACAGGAAAATTATCAGTGTCCTAGTGTCCTAGAATTGCAGGTTATTGACAGACAGATGTGATAGATGTGACATACTGTATGTCTTGGGTGTGATATTACCTTTGTTACAGTATTGTAAAACTAGTGCATTGTCCTGCACTGGGTTCAGACTGGAGCGTGAACATCAGGTGAGGTAATTCACATTCCGCTACTCAGAGTTATGATGATAGCTGACAGAGAATCAGCTGCTGGAGGCAATACTATACTTGTATAACATTATCCATGATCCCTGGGGTGGGGTTTATGTTTATCCAGAGAATTCAAGTCAAAATACCACTGGATAAAATTACCATCCCTGCTTCTCCTAGGCACAGTCAACATCCCTGTGATTCCAAGCCATTGGTCCCTTTATCTATCTCAGTTCCAAGCTCATCCGGCATGGTCTGAACCCTGACACAACCAGTTCTCTCCTTCCATTCCTGTGGCAATCTGTGAAGACTGAAAGAAAACATGACAGGTCTCACAGCTGCAACAACATACAATGGCCCCCACCCTATGAGAAAACTCCCTCCTGGTGTGTGTGTGTGTGTGTGTGTGTGTGTGTGTGTGTGTGTGTGTGTGTGTGTGTGTGTGTGTGTGTGTGTGTGTGTGTGTGTGTGTGTGTGTGTGTGTGTGTGTGTGTGTGTGTGTGTGTGTGTGTGTGTGTGTGTGTGTGTGTGTGTGTGTGTGTGTTTAATCCCCCACTCCTACTATGACCTGCAATCACACATGCAGCCCCAAAGCTCTAAATGGTTTTATATCACTTCTATGGACACCAACTATTATGATTATCAGTAAGATTATCACTCTGATTAAAATTTATGGCATTTGGAAGACAGCTTTACTTTACAACTTGCAGAAGTGCTTTGAAGTCTCTTATCAAAAAATACATCCTGATACTGGTTCACTAAGTCACAGACTAAGAATACCATCAGTCTGAAAAACTCTGCTGGGGAGGCAATATAGTAAGAGAAGCATACAGACAACGCTCTTTTTTCACTGATTATTATCAGTGATTTTAATCCAGAAAAAACCGAGGTCAGTTTGCCAAAATAAGGCACGCAATATATTTTGATATAGATATGAAAGTGATCATTTATTTCATCAATATCTGGAACATCTCGAACATTTTATCTAGTCATCTTGCATGTTTTCAGTTGATTTGCTTGATACAAACCTCTAGAAAGCAAACCCCTTGATTCCACAACCTCACCTTTATTCAAAACACATTTATTCTCTAGTGACTGTTTGTTGTTGTTGTTGTGGTTCCTCTTTTGGCTGCTCCTGTTAGGGGTCACCACAGGAGATCATTGGTCCACATATTTGATTTGGAACAGTTTTTATGCCATGTTTATGTATTAACTCTTCCCAATTTTATCCGGGCTTGGGACTGGCACTGGGAGTGCACTGTCTTGTGCAACCCCAGTGGCTGGGGTCGGTTCCCTGGCGGGGAATCGAGCCCGGGCCGCAGTGGTGAGAGCGCCCCGGCCTAACCACTAGTCCTCCAGGGACCCTCTCTAGTGACTGTTAATTTACAAAAAAAAAAGTCTTTTCATATTGCATTTAAATGTTATTACTCTATGTCAACATAATTGCCTCAGGTCCAGTTAGAAACCCCCGGTGACTTCTGTATATATGTTTATTCTTGAGGCACTGAACTTATGGCCTTCGGGAGGTTTTTGTGATGTGCTCTTGTGGCAAATTTATGGCGCATGCCAAAGGCTGCGGAGGATCTGGATATCATGTAGAGGCTTAAATGATTAATAATTTCTCTTTCCAGCTTGGGTGTAATCGTTTGTCTTACATATCATTAAAGGATCTTTATTCTGATTAAAAACAGGGAACAATTTATGGATGTTGTGTAAATCATTAATGAAAAGATTATGAACGATGCTGAAATGTTTTTCCCCATCCATTTTCTGAGAATGGAGAGATTGCAGAGGTTAAGTCAGATAAAAACACACATGGAGAGCTGATCCTGCTGAGGAGGTCTTAGTGGAGTTCATTGCAGAGATAAATCCCTTCACCATGATGTCATCACTCATACTTATACAGTCCAGCTGTTGGCACTTAAGCTATAGAGCCTTTCCAGATCTGCAAGCTATTTAATTTTTATTACATTTTATGTTGAATAAGCATGTGTTCTTTATGTTTTTAAGTCTGCATGCAAGCAATCTATCTAAACCTATATTATTTCACATAAATAGTTTAAAATGTCATATAGCTTTGCATACTCATTTAGCTGCAACTGCCACGAACAGTTTTGCACTCAAGTCTCCATGAGTGAACAGTGGATAAGTTCATAAGACAACAAAACAGACTTCAACTGTAATGAATTTCCTGGTTACACAATTGCACTATTTGACCATGTAGTACTTAGTTATAGAAGGAAATTGTTTATAATTGCTTTATCCAGTGTCACCCAGATGAGGATGGGTTCCCTTTTGAGTCGATTCCTCTCAAACTTTCTTCCTCACAGCTTCTCAGGGAGTTTTTCCTTGGCACCGTCACCGCTGGCTTGCTCAGTAGGGATAAATTCATCCATTGAAAATGTATATCCTGAATGTATTTATTTCTGTAAAGCCGCTTTGTGCCAATGTCCATAGTTAATAGTGCTATACAAATAAAATTGTATTCAAATGAATGGAAATTAGTTTCCAAAACTTTATTCATATTCCAAACTTACACCAAAACATGTAGTACACAGACCACAGACCCAGAACAGTGGAATGTTAAATATAGAAGGAGGATGAATTAAATAAAAGAACAGAACACTACTAGTCATGGCTGCCATGCCAAAACAATTGATAGCATTATGCCTATTGCAATGGGAGTCCATGTTAAGCGGGACTCTGCTCTTTTCGTTGTTTGCCTTTGGCTGGTTGGCAATTGACAGTCAATAATTGCATTACAATAACAGAAGAAGGACAGGTTTCAGGATAGCCCACTACATCTAAACAATTATGCCATTCCAGAGATATTACAAAAGAGCATAATACTGGTTTAGGACAAATATACAATTCCAAAATGTGTCTTGGTCTATTGAAAAGATCATCTTCATCAGTCACCTATAAGCCCTGGTTGTTTTGCAGGGTTTTGAAGTCCGGTGTGAGCTGTGGTTTGCAGTGATGAAAAGGAGTTCATGGTAATTGTTAGCCAATGAAGTCCAGCACCAAACAAATGCTGTACAATCACCTTAACTCTCCAAGTCATCACATTGTCACATTGTTTAATAAACAAAGGTTGAGCAGTACTGTTAACATAGGCACACATTCTTATATCAACCCAATGAAATATGGAATCACTCATATTTATAAGTCACACATGGCATCTGAAACTTTAGAAATACAATTCACACATGTGCATAAAAAAGAACAAGCAAACAGAACCCAATTTGATCATTTCTTCACTGGATGACCCAAGATGAATTGTGCTCTTGAACAGAGAGCCATGTGGAGGGTGAGGAAACTGTGGAACATTGGGACACAAACAGGGACTAACTCTGTCCAAGTCTGTATACACTTATGGAAGCCAGCAATCAATCATATTGAAGGACACCCACCCAAGACCATTGTTCAACATCAGCTCAGAGAGCCACAGCACTTGCACTCTTCACATTATAATAGACTAGCATTATATAATACTATATAATATAATAACATTATATAATATTTTAACTGCTGTTTTTTTTTAATCATCACCCAAACAACCTAACTTTATTTTTAACTTATTTTTTTTTATGTGGAAGTTAACAACTAGATATTCTTAACAGGGTTGATTGTGTGTGGGAAGGGTAAGGGATATAACCAGATAACAAGATAAGAAACTGGGGTGGGTTTCCCGACAACGATGAATCTTAGCGAATGACGAACAACTTTAAGAAGGACATATGTTAAGTATGAGCCTATTTAGTGAGTGTTTCCTGGGAGGTTTCGTTATCAGAGGTTTAAAGATTGAGATGTAAGTAGTTCTTTGTTGGCTCCGCCCACTTTGAGTCAAGTCTGCACGCCGCACGAGTCAATAGTCAAACATTCGATTAACAGTCTGGGGGTAAATTTATGAATCAGATGAATCAGTGACTTTAAATAGAAGATTAAATAAGAATTTACGACAGAAATTATGTTTGTCTGGAAGGGCAACACTGAAAAAATGCAATATTATTGTCAGATTTAAGAGAAAATATAACGTTTACATTAAATGTATAGTTTACATATTGTGGTCCTGGAAGCGCCTGATTGGCTTTTAGCACTTAACTATCCATGGCAGTGCATTCTGGGATATCTACCATCTCTATGTAGTCTATACTGTTTACTTACTTTTGCTATTTGGTGCTTATGGTCTTGTAGAACTGTTTTTGTTGTTTTTTTTTTTATGAAATCTTTTGTTATTATGCTTTGAATTTCTGAATTTTCTTTCTTCAGTGCAGCTGTTTAGAGATGTTCAGTTACTCATCACACAATTATTGCTTAGGTTTGATCTAATCTTTTAGCTTTACTTATGTGGAATGAGTGTGAGCCATTATCAAATGCAGTATGGTAGTCTAGTGGGTAGCGTCACTGCCTCTCAGCTCCAGAGTCCTGTGTTAATGCAAATCAATTCATTCACATGGAACTGTGTACACATGTACACATCTGAACCAAGTAAATTTCGGTGAACTTTTTTTCAGTGTACACAACACTGACAAAGTTAGTACAAAAGCTACATTAAAAAAGTTAATTGAATTTACTTGAATTGTACATTAATCCTACACAAACAAAACATGTTACTTCAGCATAAATTTATTTCTTACGCTTGTTGGTTCCATGTGAATAGATTTACATGGACACAGTTTTAAATAGCTTTTTGTGTATATGATAAATAAAGAACAATGTGTAACCCCACACAGACAGTGAACGAAGCTGTGGTTTGAACCTACTGCACTCTGAACACTCAGAGATGGCCAAGCTACCCACTACACCACAGATGCTAATTAAGCAAGTTAACACCAGGGCAATAGATCACAGTCACTCCATACAACTGTGAGGCTTTTTGTATAGAAATGAGTGGCCTCTGCCTTTCTGAGGTAGAACTGCATGCAAGCTCCAAATAACTAAGTATTTCATGAAAAATGAATAGGTCAGGTTACTCATTAATTTACAGACAAGTTGACGTAGTACATTAGTAAAAGGTTTTTGGTAAAAGCTTGTTAATTAAAGAACATTCTTATGAACGAGATAACGATGTACTTAGCATTACAAACGTTTTGGGAAACCCACCCCTGGTCATCATCATCTTAAGAGCCATTTCCAAATTACGCTATAATAACTGTCAATAACCCTCATTATGTATTAATTGTATTGAGATAAAGAGAGTATTTGTTTTGTCAGTTCCCTAGTGTTGTTTGTAGGCCTGGGATGGTGAACTTTGACCCAGAGCCCGTGTAGTTGAGACGGACTCTCACAGCTCAGTGTCAGCTTTGGTGGTAGAGTGACCATTGGTGGCGGCAGGAGGATTTTGGATCTTCACGGCTTCTAGGGACTCGCCATTCTGGCTTGGCTTCTCCGGGCTCTCAGGTGGGTTCAGAGGAGCCACAGACACCAGAGTGTTGCCCTGGTTATCTTCATCAGTCATGTATGACTCGTCTGCCTGGGGGAAAACACATACCAAGCACTGGGTAAAGAATAATTTCTCCACATGCAACATACCCATGATAAATAAGAATGTGTTCCAGTAAATGAACTGTTAGCACCCATTTAACCTCTTTTACTGTGTACTATATTACTTCCAATAGCTCCATTAATCAGCAAAATTACAGCCACACAAAGAGCCTTGCACTTTTAAAAAAAAAAATGAGCTTCATTACTTGATAAACTTGTACCAATTTGACATGCATATAAAAAAATGGTCATATTTCACTCTGATAATGCATTCGCTCTGATATAGAGGTGTGTGCTGAGAAAAGCTTCTTCTGATATGGTGTCAGATGCTCACCGCTTAATCACAAGCCTAGTATCACTTCTCCAGGAAAATATCACTTCTACACCAAAATCCACTTGAAAATAACTTGAAGCTCAAATGAGTGTGCTCTAATTAAAGCACCCACCAGCTGATGTAGAATTTTTACTGACACACAGAGAGTCTAGCATTAGATTATAAATGGTTGGACATCATACTCATTATGAGCGTAGTGGGGGAAAATACTTGTAGTCTTTTCGGAGATTAGTACTTTGCCTAATTATAAATGAAAATGAATAGTAGCAGTCCTACTCAAGAACCTCTACATGAAAAATAAAATGCCTTTTATTCATTAGAGTTTTATTTACACCTTGTAATGTACTTGGTACAAATTTTGAACTTCATTACTTGAATGATATTTTCTTCTGCCTGGACTATCAGTTGTTATTCTGTTTATTTTATAAGTATATTCAGAATATCCAATTAAAATCTATACCAATTTGTGTGGTTTCCACAACCAATCATCTTAGTACTGTTACTGCCTATGGATCTCTCCTGTTCTTCATTTATTTTATAG